TTGTCCCAGACCGCCAGAAATTAGATAAAGTCTACTCGTTGATTATTGGTCGTTTATATTTGGGGGATTAAAAAAAATGGCTGACTAAATAAAGGAACGCAAAACTCCAGCTTAAAGCTAGGATATAGGATGCCTTATCATTAATTCCGTCAAATTTTTTAGTGGCTGTGTATCAATTCCAGCACCATACATACGACAATTTCAGCCGGAGAGGGCAATTTAAATTGTTTCGATCAATAGAGGCTACAAATGTATTTTTCTGTTTTAAAAAACCGGCACCGATTAAACCGATTTTGGGTTAACCGGCTATAAATTCTCTTGTACACGCCGTTTAGCTTTATTTAAAACTAACCAAGCTATTTCTCTGATATTTATCAATAATAATAATATATATACAGTTATATAGAAATATATAATAACCCCCTCGGTAAATTTACCTTACTATATACGATTTTTGCTCATCAATAGTAAAACATATGAAAAATCTATTTTTTCGAAAATCTGTATTATTCGTATTTACTATATAAATTTTGTATCTATTTGAAGCTAATTGGTTGTATTATTCGAAAAAAAATAATGATATATTTAAACCTACTATCGTAGTTCAATGAAATGGCAGTAATGGATTACACGTACATTTTTCATATGTGTAACATATGTATCGTTACTTCACCGAAACACAGTTTTATACCTTTTTCTGGACAGCAATAGATTGAACCTTCATGAATGCTTGCCTCTAGCCATTCTTTATACGATGTTTGAGACATTGTCAGTAGTAGTAAACGTAAAAGCGGAAGTAGAGATAAGATCATGTTATTTTGGTAGATACAGCCGATAGAGGTTTTCGAAAAAAATCTATTTTTCATATGTTTTACTATTGATCGGCAAAATCCGGCAAATACTTTTGGCCAGTGTCAATTGTGTTACATAAATATCGTTATTTCTATATAGTCAGTCTACCTTTTTTTGGTTAGTAGATTAACGCCATGTATTATATGTTTATTTCGAGTCAAGATATGGAGGTTATATGACAATGGTTTAATAAAGAACTGAAGACAAGCACTTGTGAGACAGCTAAAAAGTTTTAGAACAAAGGGAATTTACAATTCGTCGTTTAGATGAATCGTTAGAAAAGTTAAAGCTAAACGTTATTAACAGAGTATATTAATCAATACTACTAAACTAAAAATGCCTATACTCAGTTATATCCCACTTCAGATATATCCCCCAATAATTCAACAGATATGTAGAATCAGTATTGTTCACGTGAAATTCGAGCCAGTGGTTTCGATGAACAATTTAAAACAAGAACATTCGTCGTTATAACCAGGTTTGACTAATACATTTTAACGACGCATAGTTAGCGTTTGTTGAACTTGTATAAAAAAACTTTCCCAATTACAACAGTTTTATGCCAGAACGTAAATTCGGTCGAATAATATTTACTTACCCCTTCCTTCTCTTCATTATTATTGCCCATAAGCGTTAATCTTCAAGCTTCATTGTCAACTTGGGCTGTGTGCTTGTGTACAAATACGAAAACATCACTTAGTTTTTTTGGCCTTGAATTATAAAAATAATATAATATTTGTTATGTAATTTTCTATATATAAAAGTGTGGGCGACGACTTAATTTTCTGACTTAAGGACGGAACTACTAACTAACCATTTCGGTGTTTTTCAAACAGTTATTGCAAGTTTATTCCGCACTGACCAATATAAGTTACAAGTGATCAATCTCCTTTTATTCTGTGTGTGCGATTTGAGACTTTCCTACAATTGAATACATGTCCATTTTCTACCTCAATTTAGCTAAGTTTTTCAAAGAACCAACAAATCGGGTTCGGGCATCTGTGTGCGGCAAGATTCCTTGCTGAAGATAGCCAAATTCTGGTGATCCTGAGGGTATTGTGATATTTCTTGTGTTCTCAACGATGTCAGCACTTTGGTCCATGCTACTAGTTCGAGTTAGTCTTTCGAAATCTCAATGTCGTTTTCCGAGCTATAAATCTGTGGGCTTGCTCCTTCGATCCTACTCATGTAAAACTAATGTGAAAGGTGTTCGACCTGTCTTACGCGTTTGCCAGCAATTACGCAAACCGTGGCAGTCGAAACTGATGACGGTTATTACCTTTCACAAGCTGAGGAATGCTCGTAGCAAAGTGTCAACTGAGGAGCACATAAAATTGAGCATAGAGCAGGTTTCGCTTCAACAAAGTTCTCGAGAAAGTTCCCTGACGCAGGCAGGGACAGAAATGAGAAAACAGGCTATTGCAGCGTTCATGCCAAAAGGATATCCCGACTCTGTTGCAGAAAACTATTGGGGTTTCACTAAATGGCAGTTTATACATGTTGTCGCTGGTTCGATAACCGGAGGTGTGTTGCTATTGTAGCCATTTGATTCTTTTCGACAAAAGGATTCCTTTTTAATACAATGAATTCCTATTGAAATAGTTTTATCTACGCAATCGCTTCTTTATGCTTTGGGGCTGGGAGCCAATTCGATTCCTGTGAGTTGAAAATAAGTTTTTTATCAATTATACATTTGAAGTTTTGACTTAACTTGACTTTGTGCGAAGCTTGCGGCAGCCTTGAATTGGGTGATTAAAGATGGATTGGGTCATCTTGGGGGTGTGTTTTATGCCGCATTCGTCAGTGACCGCTTTGATTCCGAGCCGAAACGACATCGTCTTCGTTCCGTTCTTGCAATGCAGGCGGCATCTTTGCTAGAATTGGTAACTCCCTTGTGGCCAAATATGTTCTTGTTAATTGCGTCTCTTTCAAATGTTGGTAAGAAGCAGGACTCGAAAATCTTGCAGAATAATGAATTATTATACATTATATGACTTTTGTTTTGAAATTTAGGCAAGAATGTGGCATGGTTGGCGGGTTCCGCAACTAGGTAGAAACTTCGAATTAATTTGAAAAAGACTGTAGAGTCAAAACAATATCATACCATGTTTTTACTAGTGAATATTCGGATATAATGAGCATCAAAAAGTAGGATGGATTGTAATCCACCCTATATATAGATCAGTATACACGCAAGTGAGTATTAATAAGTATCCTATTGGCCATGTGTATATCTATATTATTTGTAGGGCGCAAATGACTAAGACGTTTGCGTTGAGGGACAAGTAAGTTGTTATAATTCTTCATGTAACATAAATCAGTACTATCCATGCTGCTTTGCTAATGGATGTCATATAGTATGGGCGATATTACTGCAAAATCTGGGTCTCAAGGAACTGTGGCCGGTCTTATAGGTAATTATGGTTGTGCATATTTCGATCACGCCTGATGAAACTGATAAAATATTTATTAGGAACTGGTCTAGGCATAGCAATCAGCGCTGTAATCACTTCGGCGTATGCCAATTACTCGTTGCTCTCACCAGCAGAACAGCTTGTGCCAATGCTCATTGCATTCATGCCTTTCTCTTTTCTTAATATTTATGCAAGTTATTACTCCAACCTTTACGTTACGACTCCAACGCTAAACATCCCCCGGGCAGAATTGATCATTCATACCGTTCTTCACAATCTTACTGTGTCCGAAAAACTGCTAAACGTAAAAGGAGCTTCCCCGGATAACCAAGTCCCTACACCTAAGAAAATATCTCAAAAAGAAAGCTTTGTTGGAAAATATATCTCGCCATTTGATATTCCCCTTTTGGTCGAACCATCAATACATCATTACACTTCCCCGATGTATGCTGATGAATTGCACAACGCTTTGGATCAGACACAGTTCATTCACAAGGAAGAATATTTCATTCTGCCACATACCGGACACAGCAAACTCCGCAAAGCGCACGTTGTATTATGGTTCACAGATAATGCTAGCACACGTGATTTTATTAAAGGGTTCTATCATGCGTGTGTATTAAGATATTGTTTGGGTGAAAGTAAGCTTATACCAGAAATGAATGACAGGCGACTTCATAATTTAATAACCAATACGCACGATTGGGTAAACGTAACTTTTGATAGTTTCTTTGGCGAACTAGATAGGCAAGGCTGGGACACAGAATGTATATTCTTCGTTGAGAGAGATGGCAATAGGTTGATCGTTGAGACATAGTTAAATTTGACAATAATAAATAAACGAAATTAAAATCGAACTGTATAGTATAGTCATGTGACTATATTTATATTTTATAATGACCTATTACTATGACCGTTCTATTGATAACCTTAATCGTAATGGCACGACCTTTTGCTAACATTCTCTCTCTATCGCTGTCATTTTTTATAGTTCTAAATTAGTAACTTTCAACTATAATAATAATGATAAGGATAGTAGTATGTTATCCGGCCTGTATGAAACTTTTCATAACGTTAGAAACGTCGATACTGAAATCTGTACTGGTACCTACAAACAATACTTTCATGTGAAGAGGTATAAATGAGAAACTGGGATGTAATAAAAAAAATAGTGAGAACATCGCTCTCTAGTTGCAATCAATAATTTTTATAGTGTTGATTTCATGTATCTATTCCAATCTTTTCGTATTATTAGGATTTCAGGCTCATCATAGGTACGTCAGTCATCTTTATTTTATTGAACTGGGACATTAACAGCTCTATTCCGCTTCGGCCTCGATATTATACGTGGGGTGCAGAAAAATTTTGCGCGTGGACCTTTATTCCGGAAAGTTTATAATAAGTATCGATACAACTATCTTATCCATTCGACATACCCTGATTTCGCCAACTCTAGAAAGAGTCTTATAGCCCTCTTTCGGACACTTCCCTTGCCAAATTTTCGACCTTATCAAATGGTTTCCTATTTAATGTGAGGGAATAAGAAAAAATCCCAAGGGGTTAGCTCTGGACTGGCGGGTGGGGAAGAAGTTCTACTCGTTTGCTATGAAGATATTTCGTCACAATCGTTGCTTTGTGTGGTGCAGTATTGTCGTGATTAAGCATAATGTCACAAACGGTTTTTCTGGAGTTTTAGTTCATCATGCAAAATGTAGCTAATTCTTTCACACCTTGTTAGCTAATTTTTTAGTGGAATGTGTGAGTCACTGCTAACAAAATTCTCGATTTTGGCAATTTTTCCTGGCGTCACTCCTTCGCGAGGACGTCCAGAACGACTGTTGCCTTTAAATTTTTCTTCCCCGTCTTTGAATGTAGCAATCCAGCGTCTAATTGTTCTGATAGACAATGCTTGTTTCCTTCTACATTCACCAACTCATCGTAGATTTGAGTCGCATTTCTGCCATTTTCCAAGAAGCGAAAATAAAGTATTGCCAGTTCTCACGGCTCATTTTTTTCCAGTCGTTTTACTATGGTTACAAAAAAATGGTTTCTCGACAATAAGATAATGAATTCGCGCCTACTTTTATTTGTTACATGAAAGCATGCACTTGATCATTAATTAGATCTCGAGTTAGAGTGCCGCACGCAAAACTTTTCAGGACCCCCATGTAACGTATTTAAAAAAAGAGAGCTGTAATTGCGGAATATCCGTTATTTATTAACCTCTATAACAAATAGCACAAATAATGGCTTGCTTAAAAGCCGAAGAGATGTAAATTCTATTGTTAAGAAGTCAATTTGAAATACGCTCCTCTTTAGTTTTAAACAGGCTTACATTCTCGTTTTATTAGGTTTAAAAATTGAATTATAGTCTGCTCTGGTCAAATTACGCGCTCCTCAACCATCATTGGACATTTCCATGCTTTCTTACTTATGTCCATAAATTAACCATAGTTTGTAAGGTATGTATTTCAGAAAAATAGATTGACTGTTTTGGAGACTAATGCTAATTATGACGCATATTCCTCCCTAATTTCTGTAAAACATATGAAAACAAAAACCTTTTCGAAAAATTTCATTGTTGTATTTACAATATAAGTAGCGATGCCTTTTATATTGATTTGAAGCGAATTGATTGTAGGGAAAAATAAGCTCATTAAAATATATTACCGTTATACGTACGTAATACACTCACTGGCCAAAAGTATTCATAATCCTTTTTTCGAAAATTTTTATTTGTCTGTATGTACTATGTAAGTTGCAATAAATGTTGCATCATTTTGAAGCTACTTTTTGAAAAAAACAATGCAAAATTTCAAACAGTTACTGTAAACGGAGTTGTTCGATGAAGTGGAAGTATTTATGTTACACATGATTTTCATACATTTCGTATGTGTAACATAGATACTGCGTCACTAACTGCGTATTTTTATACAGTGGGTAGACAAAAGTCTCCGGACAGTTTTGTACTTAAATTTTCTCGAAAACTTGCATAATAATAATAATTGGCCATGAAATTTTCGTGACGCGTAATGTAGATCTTTGTTTATAATTTGAAACGTTGTTATTATAAACAAATAGCTACTTCGTTTCTCCCAATATTATTTTGAAACCTGCTTTAATATCAACTGACATAAAATAAAGTTACAATGGAACTCTTAGAATTTAAGCGAGCTGAAATTATTCGGTTACGGAAAAGTAGCCTTAGTCGCCTGATCTTAATCCTATCGAACATTCATGGAATGAATTGGACAGGCGTATTCGCAAACAGAAAGTATTGCCAAAAAACAATGGTGAATTAATTGCGGCTTTGAAGGAGGAATGGGAGCGAATCCCGGAATGTACATATCTAAATCTAATAGAGAGTATGTCGAAAAGGGTGCAAGCTTGCATCACAAGCGAGGGATGGCCAACTAAATATTAATGGGTATCCGTATGAGAATCGTACTAAATTTAGTACAGCATGTTGGAATGCCCTTCACGCCAATGACAGAATTGAATTTCTTCAAAATATGTTAGAATGTACACTGGTTTCGAGTCTACATTTGGGCAAAAAATCGATAATGTTTGCTAATAAAAGTTCTGTGCAAAGTAGTCTTGAATGCATCTCTTTTTTGCAAGAATTTTCCTGTACTAAATTTAGTACAATGAATTTAGAAAATATTTCGACAGCGGCATAAACTAATGAGGAAAAGAAAATTAGTCCAAGCTTTATGGAATCTCGTCTTTGCTTTCAAATATTTATATCATAAAAAGATGGCCACTAAAGCAGTTTTCACGTATACTGATATCAGAGAGGTCATTATCTTCTATCGTATCTATAGACCTAACAATATTATCCAAAATTTAACCCATTCGCATCATTACACAATTTGACACAGCTCAGCGAGTCATTTGTTCTCAACTCGTGCTAAATCAGACATTGCTGGGAGCAGTTAATCTCAATATCGCATGCTAAACTCCGATTAAATGATCCATTTCTGAAGGGTGGTTCAACTACCAGGAAACCATATACATGATAACGCCATAGCATACAATCTAACCTAAGTAAATTGTAAGCGCTGTAAAGCTCTGGTACAATAAACGGAAAATGCCTGGTGTAATAAAGGTAGAACGTCTTGAAAATTCTGACAGCGTTGGTCACATAGAAGCTCCGAGTCAACCCTAACCCTAACCCTAAACCGAAACCTACCCTAACTCTAGTAATAGCAATCTTTCTCGATACCCTGGGCATTATACGTAAAGTTGTCGATTGTTTATTAAGAAGTTGTTTTTTTCTGAAATCACTGAAATCAACTTGCATACTATAAAATTTTTATGCACCAGTCAGATGACGCAATCCATTCTAATCATCAGTTCAAACTCGTACTAAATTAAGTATATTGTACTAAATTTAGTATAGCAAACGGATACCCATTAAGATTAAAGCGGATACTGGAATATCAGACCAGACAGAAAAGAATGGTTCGATTTTTGATGCAATATACTTTTGTATTTAATTAATAGCGGCTTATAAGCAAGACCACAGTTTTGAGCTAAATTTTGATTCCCGGTCAAATTTGAACACAAAAGCTCTTCTAGGTAATACAAAGACTATTATGGCACAAACGTTAGTTGCTCAATAACATTAATATTGATGTTATTATAGAATTCTATTAGAACATTTCTATTATTACTATGTAGAACATGATTTAAGTGTCTCAATTACAATGGTTTGGTTTTATAAGATTAAGATTTGTATTACCCAAGTAAGAATATCCGCGAGAATAAGGGTTTGTTTCGTATTCCCTTTTTTTCCTTCAAAATGCAGGTCGAGTTTTATCACTGCTGTTCAAAAGTTAAATAAAATAAGAATTGGATTATAAGGGGAGGTAAAGTCCCCCAACAATAAAGACCTGCTCTTATTGTCTACTTAAATCTGTTGTACCTCAATTGGGGACCTGCCTCAGTTCTGGACCGAAACAACTGAGTTCTGGACTGAGTGTCTGGGTTCGGAACTGAGACAACTGGGTTCTGGACTGAGTGACTGGGTTCTGAACTGAGACAGGTCCCAAACTCAGACACAACAAATGCATTTCTTTGAAAGCGCCAGAATTCTTGTGGTTGTCCCATCAGCTTTTACAGTGAGGTAAAGTTCAATTTTCAGAACGGTTTTTCGTGTTATCTTTCTTGTTTTTCGATTTACCATATTTGACACCTCAAAAGGAGGGATGATAACGGCATCAAAATCGCGAGTAAAAAATGCGACACTCTTTCTATGAACTTCCACTTTGCATGTGTTTGACTTTTCGTCGCATCCGAAAGATTGCCTTATCAAGTCGCAAGGCTTTTTTCTTCTTACGTTTTGAACTAGAGGCTGCCAGCGCGTCCTTTATAGAAAAAAGATTATCCATATGCTTGCATAGACGAATAATTTGTTTCAATGTCGTATTGGCCAATTTACCTACGCCTTTAGTAGGAGAGTACCATGCGAAAAGTGTACGAACGCCAGGGTCAATGGAAACTGCATGAACAGAACTATCCGCGGAGTTGTTTTTGCGTCTCGTAAACCCATGAAAATTTCCATTGCGAATATAAATCGGACGTTATTCCGTGAGGAAACAGGCCACTTATTATTATGCCTTTTTTTTCGAAATGAAGAGGCCACAGATCGCGTTTGTCGTCCAGAGTAATAACAGGCTTATGACGGTATGTGGAAAGCATTGATGGATTATAGAGATGGGTGATGTAAAAACGGTTCCACGTGGTTTTTTGAAAAAAAATTCTGCGCACGAATTATTATCGTTTGTCGTAAATCTTTTCGAGATCGAAATGACA